AGATATACTGGGATAATATTAAATATAGAACTCACTAGATCAAGTCAAAGTTTACTTACCTACATTTTTTTTAAATATATTTTTATTGATTTTTTACAGAGAGGAAGGGAGAGAGATAAAGAGTTAGAAACATCGAGGATGAGAGAGAAACATCGACCAGCTGCCTCCTGCACACCTCCCACTGGGGATGTGCCCGCAACCAAGGTATATGCCCTTGACCGGAATCGAACCTGGGACCCTTCAGTCCGCAGGCCGACGCTCTATCCTCCGAGCCAAACCGGTTTTGGCTACTTACCTACATTTTCATTTATTTTTTAAAATGCAAAGATTTTACAACTAAATTGCTTTAAATTCCCCCCTAAATTATTACTCAAATTTAAAGTCACATATACATGTATACATACACATATACAAAAGCCACATAGAGTCTGAATTTTTTAAAATAAAGTTGTCTTTGACAATTCACATTACCAAAATGGCATTATTGATTTCATTCAGAATTTAGGAAAGGTAATATATTTTAAATTTTTTAGAAAATACTCCATTTTGGATTACTATTGATAAATAGCTATAATCACAGGCTGTTTTGAGCTGGATTAACGGATTCTTCCTCTACTTGTGATTACTTAAGTCTTTTTCAAATTCAAAGTGTGAACTGTGCCTTATTTTACTACACAAAGAATGTCCAAGAAGCTATAAAAATTCCTCCAGAATCATTTGCCCACATTCCAATGCCAAGTACAGAAAACGTTTAAAACATTTATAGAAAGTATAAAAAACAAAAGCAAAAGAAATTAACCAAAAGATGGCTATGAAAGTGAATACTGAGACTTTTTACTCTTTAAAACACATTGAAGAAAGTTTATAAATTTACAACCCTGAAAAGACTATTATCCATTGATAAGTTAATATTAATAATTCACTCACTGGAGAACAAACCCAGGAACCAGGGACTCCCATTCATCAATTTTGTTCTGTCACTGGCTTAGTAGAGTTTTGGGCACATCCCCATATGGTGAACAAGAAAAGCTTAACTGACATTCTAAGGTTGTAAGAATTGATTAAATGTTTATGAAGTACTCGAGGACCAAGAAGGAAAGCCACTGTAACCATTAAATGTAATTTAGTTAAAACTGTAGCTAAGAGTTAGGCTTGCAAATCCAATCATAAAATTCTTTTGTGTCTTCTTAACACTGCAAATCTTCAGTGAGTCAGTTTAGTGTGTGTATTTAATGAGCTGGTTTAGCAACCTCAGAGGAATGAATTTTCTTCCAAATCTTTGTTTTCTCACAAACTCTGTCACTATCCAACCCACCTAGTTGCAAAGGGAGACATGATCCGATTCAATGTTAGGTCTAT